AAATTAACTAATTTAGTGTGTATTGTTGGGATTAGCTCTGATTGATCAGCTAATCACATGGTACAGATGGGCTGTTATTGGCCCTGTGTGTACCATGTGATCAAAGCCATTCATTGTGTACAATTGTCATGTGATCTGCTGTGGTTGGTCACGACGATCACATGGTACTTGCAGCTGTCCGGTACAGTGATCTGTCATCAGCTGTGACCAGTGGACACAGCTAGTGACAGGTCATGCCACAGAGTGGCCCGTGGGCAGGGCCATGGATAAAGGGGTACCACCAGTCCTCCTGTATGGGGCCCAGGCCAGCAGGGGGGCCCAGGAAGCTGGGCAAATCGGATGTGTGTAGAAAGGGTGATCGGCACAATGGGAGTGAAATTACTGGAATTGATCCCCTGTATGGTTCTCTCTGCAGCAGCTGAAGACTGGCTTCTCCTCTCTCTCTCTCCTGCTGGTGTTCAGCTGCTGCAGAGAGAACCATACAGGGGATCGGTTCCAGTAATTGCCCCGCACCCATCATCCTCCCTGTGCACTATATGGTTGCCCAGGTCCCTCTGTGTGTGCCACCGCCCATTGCTCCTGGGTTCCCCCTTCTTCCTCCCACCAGTAACTGCAAGCACACAATAGGATCTTTCAGGATGATGAACACAATAATCGGTACCGATCACTCACTGTATTCATTCACAACTGTTTTTTTTTGGGGGGGGGCCTGTCAGGTTTGCTGTATGGGGCCCCCATGGTTTCTAACAGCAGCCCTGCCCTTGGGACACACGCAAGGCATGTTTCCGGGAGGACATCATATGACATCCACATGGAAAGACAAAAGTGCTGCCTGGCTATCATTTGACAATAGACCGGGAGGGAAGTGGTTAACATACAATACAAGAAGCCCATCCTCTACATTTTTAACCCTTTGTTAAAATCTAGTTACAATTGATGATGAAGATCTGTCTGCACAGTACAGAAATAGTCAGTTATGGCAAACACCACTTACCCAGCCCTTTAATAGAGCATCCAAAAAAAAGTAAGCTATAATTTATAATTGTTTTTAAATTTATGCTATTAGAATATGGTTAGGTAACAAATATAAAGCAATTTGGTTGCAATATAGGAGATACACTTTAAACATGTAAACGTAGTAATAACTTTATAAGCTGCTCTACTGGCTATCTCAAACACATTCCTTCTTTCCCCCAGACATGCAGACTAAGCAGAATAAACATCACTGTTACTGATAATCAAATTTTGACTTGACTCATCTCTGTCTCTAACCACTTCTTGATTGCTACGGGAAGCATACAATGGCTTGCAGGCTGTGATTGACAGCCTGGATTCACTTTCTCTATGCTGTGGAAGGGGCAATATTATGGTGCACACTGGGGAGACAATTACGTTTCTGAGAGCAGACTTGAGCAAAATATTTAAGCAAAGATACTCACACTGGTGAGCTCTTTACAAATGACAGTGTAGGAACTGAATGGTGTTAAATCTTCTAAAACTCCATGGGCCAGATGTTATAATAAATCTCTTTTACTCCCACTGCCAGAAAATTCTCTCAGACACACAAGCCCTTCTGGCAAATACAACGCCTAAGATGAACTCACCATGAATATAATATAATTAAGTCAACATGTTATGATTAAAAATGAAAATAGGAGAAAAGCAAAGGAGCAAGAACGTGGACATGTTGCCAATAGCAACCAGTTAGATTTCCCTCTTTTATTAAAAAATAATAAATATTATTGAAACATTTTCAAAATATAAAATTACAAAATTTGTATAATATCTGAGACACTTTATCCAAGATTATACAAGGTAAGTACACAAATAAAGGCCAGTTATTGCTATATAATTACATAGAACATGGTACATTTGATGTGTTGGTGAATTCTTACAAGGTTATTACCAGTTCCAATAGGTACAGCAAACAAATAGGTCCTAAACGATGGGTTTGACAAATAATGCAACATTCGTAGTATCACGTTAGTATACAGCAAAATCCTGGGTAAGCTTTAGGCCGCTTTCACGGACGTTCCGTTTTTTTTTTTTCATCAGTTCAGTCGGGTTTTTTCCAAGAAAAAAAAGTATCAGTTCACATCGGTTTTTCATCAGTTTACATCTGTTTTTCACCAGTTTTTTATCAGTTCACATCCGTTTTTATCAGTTTACATCCATTTTTCATCCGTTGTTTTTTTTAACGGAAGAAAAATAGGGTTTCCTTCCATTCATTAAAAAGATGTTAACGGATGTGGACATTAACGGATGTGAACAGATGATCATCCGTTTACATCCTCTAGTCCATAAAAATACATGGGTGTCCATTTTTCATCACAGATGAAAAATGGACATTTGGAATGCCCGTGTGAAATGGGCCTTAAAGAGATGTATGCTTTTTTGGCCATACTTCTCATCTGGGTAACAGGAGTGCATGTATTTCTGCACTCCTCTAACCCAGGTTCAGCTGACAGCAGGCTAAAGCCCACTGTCAGCTGACATGACAGAGCTGGTCCAGGCTCTGCAGGGATCTCAACAATAATAACAGCTCAGCACTCTATTGAGTGCTGGAGGGGTAGAGCAATGACTGACAGCCACCACTCTTTGCTTAGTGAAGACCGTGGACTGAATGATCAGCAGTCATGTGATTGCTCAGTTCTGAGTCTTAGAGCCAACGGAGGACAGCTACAGCATGGGACCAATGCTGCACCCACAAAGGTGAGTATAGATGCTTTATCATGCTTATTTTATTCAGAGAGTAGTGGTTAATGATTCATACTCTGAATGGTCTGAGGTTAATTGTGGTATACCCCAAGGTTCAGTGTTGGGACCCTTACTATTTAACCTACAGTATTTATAAATGATAATGAATTTGGGATTAAAAGTATAATTTCAGTGTTTGCAGATGACACCAAGCTATGTCGTGGTATAATGTTCTTGCAGGATGTCGCCACCCTTGGTGTACTGATTAAATGGGTAACTATGTGGCAAATGAGGTTTAATGCTGATAGTTATGCAACCAAAGCAGTATGGAGGAGATGAGCTTTGGCAAAAAGATTAGCTGAACTTAATGTATTCTTCCATAGAAAAGGTGATTAAGGGGGGGGATATATATTGTACAGAATACTAGGGGCCACTCTTATGTCTGAAGGAAAGGAGATTTAACCTCCACGTATGGAAAAGCTTCTTCACAGCAAGAGCTGTGAACATGTGGAATAGGCTTCCTCAAGAACAAGTTCTGGACAACTCAGTAGATTGTTTTAAAAAAAAAAAAAGCTGAGTTGCAGTCCTAAATGCACAAAATATAACTGGATTTTAAGGTAATAAACACAAGAAATTGATGATCCGGGGAATATACGATTGTCTCTTGGGGAAATGAGGAAGGAATCTGTTTCTCCTGCTGGAGAAAATTGGACCATGCTTTGTAGGATTTTTTTTGTTTTCTTCTGGATCAACTATGGGTATAGTATTGTGTATATGGAGGTTTTCTATTTGTTTATTTTTTGCTATTGGTTGAACGAGATGGACTTTTTTCCACCTGACTATGTCATTATGTAACTATGTGTTCATTAAAGTGCATCTTTCCTTTCATAAATGATCATTTATTAGCATCTAGTTTTTCTAAATCATGTATAGTAACTATGTTAATTTAATGATGACCCTAGGCACAGAGGGTATCTGTAAGAGCTAATTTTATCTTCAGCCATCAATAGGAAAAATTGGGTCTAGTGCGTAGTGTTTTGGTAAAGTAGTTAAATGTGGGAGTTGAGTCACATTAAGCAAATAACAGTAGCTTAAGTTTGAAAGGTAAAAAGATATGAGTAATAATACCTATAAAGTTGATGATTTTTTTTTTAAAAGTAGCCATAAGTGGGCAGAACCAAAAGGCAGTGGTCTAGAGTTGCCCAATGTTCAATACATTTGGGACAGTTTGTAATTAAATTAGTGTGAATGGTGACGGAGGTGGATAGTACTGTTTATAAAAAGCTATAAAAAGCTATATACGCTCTGTGCATGATTCCAAACTGAGATTCTGTCTGTTGTTTCATTTCTGATCAGTTTACACACCTTTAAATAGTCTGCCACCATTTTTGCTTTTATGTCATCAATTTGAAAGCCGTTGACCCAATGTTTCGAATTTATTTTGTCAAGGGAAGTAGACTGTTGGAGTTTAAGAGGAAGGTGGAGTACTGAAATAGAGATAGGGATATTTTTATAATGTCATCAATTTTAAGAAAGGTTGGAGGGTCAAAGGATATTGATTTCTAACAACTGGTTATCTTGGTGTAGTAGAGAAAATGAATGGCCGGGATATGATATTGATGGCATGGTTTGCTGGAGTCAGCGTCAAATAGGTTGCTTTTATGAATTAAACCCTTGGTCTGCAATGTCTGAAAGGCAGTGTACAGAATGCCCTAGGAAGCATAGGCTTGGGCAAATGGGGATAAATGGGCTGAGATATGAGTTGATTTATGTTTTATGCTAGATTGGCTAGCATTTTGCTAGCCTTTTTGCTGAATTAGTACTAGTGTAGAGCTATATTTGTTTCTTTGAGTGTTTCTATCCTATGCCAAGTCAACTTCCTTTTGGCCACCAGCCTAGTTTTTTGCTTGGTCTTCCTGAGGATTTCTGTAGCCTCTTAGTAGTTGGTCCATATCTTCTTGTTCAGAGCTGAAGCATATTATTATATTTATTATTATACAGGATTACTGACTTACATTGTATAAAATACAATTGAGCAACATCACAAGTAAATGCATCAGATCAGCATTGATACCTTCACACTTCCAGTTACTTGTGCTCGAGGATGCCATATCTTTAGCGCCATCCTATGCATTTCATCTTACAAGACATAATGGGAGGAGTGGCTGGCTCATTTAGAGCAGAAGTGGGAAGGTATCTAAATATCGATGCCAGTCTGATCCATGTACTTGCGGTATTGTTGGATTATATTTTATACAATGTGTGTGTGCACTTTTTTTAACCACATCCCGACCGCCCTATAGCAGATATACTGATCACTGTATTGGTGTCACTGGGGATGTCAGTGACACCAAGTCAGTTCCCTCCAGTGTTAGAATGCCCGCCGCAATCCTGTTATAAGTCGCTGATCGCTGCCATTACTAGTAATAAAAAAAATTCCAGTATCTTTACCGCCATTTGTAAACGCTATAACTTTCATGTAAACCAATTAATTTACATGTATTTGGATTTTTTTTTTTTAGCAAACACATGTAGCAGAATACATTTTGTCCTAAATTGTATGATGAAATGTTACTTTTTGCTATTAAACATGGCCAGTAAAAAAAATTTAAAAAGTCAAAATATTGTTTTTTTCTCAAAATTGTCTTTTTTTTTTTTTTTTTTTTAGCGCAAAAAATAAAAAAAACACACAGGCAATCAATTCCACTGAAAGAAAGCTCAATTCATGGGAAAAAAAGGTCGTAAATTTAATTTGGATGCAGCATTGCATGACCGCAGAATTGTCAGTTAAAGTAACGCAGCGCCGGAACGCAAAAAATGGCCTGGTCAGGAAGAGGGGTAAATCCTCAGGAGGGCAAGTGGTTAATAAAGCAGTTTTTACAGTACTACCCTATGAGAATTGCCCTTCTCCCTTATACGTTATATAAACCACAGAAATTGGCACATGCTTCCAAAGACACAGAGAGACTGTACCTTTTAGGATTTTAGGGTTTAACCCTACCTATTTGACCATTCTTTATACCTGGTCAAATTTCTCTGGTAAGACTCTTGTGTGAGCATTGTTTATGGCATGGATCTGCTGGGTCTTAGTTCTTATTTCTGCACTTTCACAATGGAATGAATTAGACATATATGATCTGATTCTTTTGAACAAATGTTTGGAGACAAAATGTTTGATATCATTATAAAGGCAATTCATCTGAAAAATATCACTGATTTGTGGTGTGGATATTAAGACATTTATTGTGATTTTTTTATATTTTTCGTAAGCACTGCACTTTATTCATTCTTTTTTCAGCTTTGTTGTTTATTATGTTGAGTCAACCATTGTTATTTATTATTATTTTTTTTATTATTATACAGTATTTATAAAGCGCCAATAGTTCGCTCAGCGCTGTACATTACATTACATTATTTATGGAAACTAAAGAGTACTTAGCAGTAAAGCTATATTTCTTGTAATTTGTCTTACCTGAAAACTATTTTCTGGCATGTATTTTAAATATATAAAGTATATGAAAAAAAATTTATACAAAACTTTTAAACTTTCTATGCACGCACAATATATATTGTCATTTCAAATGATAAACAATAAACTGACTTTGTTGCTTAAATGTAGGAGTTTGCCACATATTTTTATTTTTGTATATGAGGTGCCCACTGATCCTGAAGGGCCACAGGACCGTCAGGGACTAAATCCAGCCCTTCCTATGAGGCAATTTATATCTAAGCTCTTGGATGTTTGCTTGTAACACAAACAAAGCAAGGGCAAATTGCAAAGATTTGTTTTTGTTGTAATGTGCTTATGTGTAGAAATATCCTGTGCATGGCAATTAGGCAGTAACATTAACATATAATTTATTGATACAAAGAGCAGTGCTGGGCCTCTAGGGGGGAAGGTAGTCACTGGTGTGGTGGTGGTGGGGAGTCTGGAACCCAGTGTTGTGTTTTTCAAAATACTTTGATTAAAAATTATATGATTAGAACATCCTTCTAAAGCCCCATACAGATGATGAGAATATTGGATGAATGGTCATCCATTTTTTGTTGCATGCTAGTCTCATATAGAAAGTGAAGAGCTTACTAATGTTACGAAAATTCTTGTACTACAAAAAGAAAATTAGGAAGTGATGTAACATGTTTGTATTGTATTTTCGGATGGAAACTGTACTGATTAAACGATCTGGTAATGTACAAGAAATATTTTTGTGCTTGACCCTTCAAATAATTTTTTACCGAAAAACTGTGTACTAATGAATCAGATTATCGTACGATAATATTTTTCATATGATTTTTTGATCGTGTATTACTGGGCTTAAGTTGGTTGAGTTATATTAACTCCACATTCAATTTATTTACCGATAATTTTCTCTAGAAATGATTAATTCAGAACATAAATCTTGATTAGGTATGTAATTGTTCTTTCTCTACATGGAATGGGCACTTTACTGCTGAATGCCTTATTTCTTTTTATTCAATATGGTATCTAATGAAGTATTATTTTATTGCCACTTCAAATGGCTTTTTTCTATTTTCCTCAATAGACACCCACTGAAACACATTTATCATCAAAGCTAGTATTATTTTAGGCCCCATTTGCAAAGGGTTATATTTATTAAAAAAACGGCAGACCTATTCATCCTGCGAAACAGCATGTAAATTTGTTCTTTGCAAATGCTGGGAAAAGTGAAAGATACTAAGCTGTTTTCTCTCCAGGTCTTCATTCATAAATATAAAATAATGCACCTAGGAAAAAAAAAAAGAAAAAAAGAAAAAAAAAAGAGTACAATATTGGGGATACAGTGTTGATCAGTGCTGCAGAGGAAAAAGATTTGAGGGTACGTATTTCAGATTATTGCAAAATGAACAAACAGTGTGACCAGGCAGTGGGAAAAGTAAATAGAATTCTAGGTTGTATTGCTAGAGGGATCACCAGCAGGAGGAAGGTTGTCCTGACTCCCCTATAGAGATCTTTAGTTAGACCTCATTTAGAATACTATGTCCAGTTCTGGAGACCTCACTTACAAAAATATATTGATAAGATAAAATGAGTCCAGAGACCGGCAACAAAAATGGTGAAAGGTCTGAGGGATAAAACATATCAAGAGAGACTTAAGGAACTTAATAATATGTAGAGTCTGGAGGAAAGAAAGGAAACGTGATTGAGTGATCATGATTGAACCCTTTAAGGGGGTGAATAAGGTTTAGGAGTGCAGTATTTTCAATACGAAGCCAAGATCAAAAACAAATGGACAGGACTTCAAACTAGCAGGAGGAAACGTCAAAAATAATCTTAGAGGGTATAATTTTAGCGAAAGGGTAGTTTATCCTTGGAATAGAATTGCAGCAAAGGTAATGAATCAGTCAACAGTAAGTGGATTCAGACATGCTCTGGACAAACAGATCTATAAGCAGACAAAAAAACAAAAAACCTGAAAAGAAACAATTAAACCTCCAAAACATGTATAAATTAAAAAACAAAATGACAGACTTGATGGACTACTTCGTCTTTTTCTGCCTTTACACTTTAATAGGTTTTTTGTTTCTGTAAGAATAGTGTGAATCAGGAAAGTGGCACATAATGACCACTGGATGGAGGTAATGATCATAGGAAAGCTCTATTTAGTGGCAAACCCATTCTGATTTCCAGCTTTCAACTTTTGCTTTTAAAGTTTAAAATGATTGACAGGTTCACAGTAAATATGCTGTCATGATTAAGATCCTGCTAAGAAAAGCATTTTAATGTTGATGTTTGCTTTACGGCAGGAAAGGTAAAATAAACATGTACAACATATACTGTGTGCTGTATGTAAAGGGTAGTCGTGCTTTGTATTTCAAATATTTGTTTTAAAATGGCTGCCCAGTGATTTGGAGAGCATACTTCATCTTGAACCTAGCTTTTAATGTGCTTACACAGAGTTGTTTTTAATTCCTGGAATTATTTATAACACTGATGGCTTCCTTCTGTCATCTCATCTGGTGATACTCGGACAGAAGAAATTAATTTTGAGTGTTCAATCCACTCAGACCGAAGATGGAAGCAGCGACAGGCAAAATTATAATAATTTTTCATCTCCATTGTAGAAGACAAGTCAACAAGATTTGCATAGTCTTGCTGCGAGGGAAAGTGAGCTATAATCATATGACACTGCTAAAGAAGGCAGCGAGTTTTATGCATTTATGTATTTATAAAGAGCTTGATGAAGACTCATAAACTGAGGCATCAACATTAGTAACCTGCTGAATAAATTATGTCAGTGATCCGGCCTGGCAGCAGAAGCATTTAGTGTTTTGATCAAATATTCAAGATTCTATTTCATGCTAGAAAAAAAATACCATTATTGAATTGCAATAACTACAAGTGGGTATTTCTGTTAAAAAAAAAAGGTATGCCTTTTATTCTAAATATATATATTTCTAGTTGAACATTTTCAAACATTTGCATCACTTTATCAACGCATGTACTGTATGTGTACACAATAACATAACAAGTGAGGTCAAGCATTCACAATCAGAATTGAGCTCCAAAAACTACAGGGACCTGTCTGTGCTGGTAATCCGGCGATTCTCATTTTTGTTGCTTATACTATTTGTTATGTTTTGAAGTAAACCCTTACTTAGCACATATAGAACCCAGTCTAGTTATCTTTGTATTTGCAAAATAGTATATTCCCAAAATATCAGTACACTAGGACAATAAAAGCTAACCCCAACTGCTGGATTACCTCTGTTTCCTTACAGCAGTGTTTCTAAACTCCAGTCCTCATGGACCCCCAACAGGTCATGTTTTCAGGATTTCCCTCAGATGAAACAGCTGTGGTAATTACTAAGGCAGTGAAACTGATCAAATCACCTGTGCAAAATAATGGAAATCCTGAAAACATGACCTGTTGGGGGTCCATGAGGACTGGAGTTGAGAAACACTGCCTTACAGGAAGATATACTGTTAGAAATTCTGTATATAGCCCTACAAAACAGACAGTGCACAGTCCACATGTGCTTTTCTGCTTCACTGCAACAAGAAAACAGGAAACTTCATTCAGAGAAAAGACATAGAGTATACCATAGATGCAGCTACAAACCTATAAGTATTGTCATCTTATCAGGGGACTAACCAACGAAAGACTGGCACTGTTGCTAACACCCAGCATGGCCAACGGTTGCGTGATCCTGTGCACATTGGCACACGCACGGCCAGATGGCACACATGCAGGTGTGTGAGTGCACGATGGTGCATGTAGGGCATGATAGATTCTGCCAGCCATTTGCCTTTTAAAGGACAGCAGATCTGACCACTAGTTGCTGGATGATCATCAGCCCCCTGTATTCCTGTGCTCCTGTATTGCTATTATTGGACTTCCTGTTGCTGACCCAAATTGCCTTTGACCTGTCTTGTCTCTTCTCCTGACTCTGACCCCTGGCTTGTTCTACTGACTCTGCTGCTGCTGCCCGCTTACCTGTGTATGACCCCAGATTATCCTCCTGAGCTCGCTT